GTCCCCCCCAACGCCCAGCAGCCCGTGCTGGGCTGGCCCGGCCTCAGCGTCGTGGTGTGGAGCTGCCTCACCCCAGCACCCGGCTGGGCTGGTTGGCCGAGCCTCCCCCTCCCCGCTGGGCAGCCTGGCTTCTGCTGTGGTTATTTGCTTGGCTACCTCATTTAGGGTGGGTCAGAGCCAGGCTGGTTCCCTCCTCCAGAGCAGGGCGAGGCTTTTCCAGAGGATGGAGCAGCGTGCTCCTTGTGTAGACATCTCAGTAAGACCCTGGCGTGTCCTTTCAGGTGAAGCTCTGGGTGCTATCGGGAATCCTGAGGTGCTGGACATCCTGAAACGTTACTCGGAGGACCCTGTGGTTGAGGTGAGGCTCCTGAGGAATTGTTTCACTCTTTTGCTGACTGGGAGTCCCAGTAGGAAGGATAAGGCCACTAATAGGAAGCACACAGGCCAGAGTTGACTGTCCCATTCCAAAATATATAGGAAAATTCTGAAGTGGCTAACAACCAGTGGAACAGAATGATGTGTTCACTCGTGGTATATGATGCAGCAAAGAAAGGAGTGAGCAGGGTTGGAAACCAGCCCATGGGGGAAGGAATGAGCCAGGTCATCAGTCCAGTCCCAATCATATAGTAATTCCCAAGGAAAAATATTGTTATAGACATCATCTTTCTGCCCTGGTCTTTCTCTTGTCCCATCATTGCTGGGAACTCTACTTGTGGTGAACACCAGGGGAGCCCTTCCACCGACAGAAACCTGACAGTGTTCACTGCAAGCAGAGCCAGCTTTGACATTATGAGCTCCAGAGGCAGGAGACCTGGGGGGATCTCTTATTAGTTTTCACCCTAAGTTGGCCAGGCCTTGAGAGAAGACCAGGAGGAAGGTCTCTCCTGCCTGCCTGTGGGCATCATCCATCTGTCAACCCTGAGCCAGGGCTCGGGGTTTAGACCCCGGCATGCAGGCACAGCACTGCTGGTCCTGTAGGTGGGGTGGGTCTCTCCTGGGCAGCCCCTAGCTGAGGGCAGGGGCACTGTGAGCTGCACCCTGCTCTGTGCTGGCACCCAGCCACCATCGGGGACCCCCGGGGCACCCCCCGGGCACTCCCCAGCGCTGAGCCAGGGCTGTGTCCCCGTCCCCACAGGTGGCAGAGACGTGTCAGCTGGCAGTGAAAAGGCTGGAGTGGCTGCAGGAGAACAAGGAGGAGCTGGGCAGCAGCCCCTACCTCTCCGTGGATCCTGCCCCCCCTGCTGAGGAGACGGACGTGGCCAAGCTCCGGGACACCCTCCTGGACGAGTCCTGCTCCCTCTTCGACCGCTACAGGGCCATGTTTGCCCTGCGCAACCTGGGGGGCCAGGCTGCTGTGCTGGCACTGGCCGACGGCGAGCCTGCCTGCCAATCCCCTGCAGAACCGGCACTGGCTGACGGTGAGCCTGCATGCCAATCCCCTGCAGAACCCAAATCCAGGGCTGCCAGAGCTGTGGGACCCCCCTCAAGGCTCTTCACGCCTTTGTTGCTAGAGCTGCTGTCCCCAGCTTGCTTGCGAGAGCCACGGCACAGAGCACTCGCTGCTTTTTGGGGTTTCACAGCCCCCTCGCTGCTTTTGGGGGTTTCACAGCCCCCTCGTTGCCCTCCAGGCCCCTTTTCTTGGGGGTGCTGGAGTGGCAGAGGGGCATGGTCTGTAATGTTGGCTTGGGAACGACCAGTCTGGCCTAATATCCCCCGCCTGGGCCTGG